AAACCATTCATTTGCAATGGACCTGGTAGTGGAGAAACGGTCCCTTAAGGCCAATAATCTTAGGTGCCGATCTTCACGGACTGTTGTTCTACGGCGGCGTCCAGTGCCCCTTGCTCTTTGCGTACGGCCTTCTCGAAGCCATGCCTGACAACACCTAACCACAGTGTCTACACTTCTTTGCACACTAACTGCAATTGCCCGAAAAGAAAGTCCAGCTTCCCGAAGTCCCACTATACGGCCCCTATCAAGCTCACTAAGTTGACGAAATCGTACAGGTCTCCGTACTCTAGGCATCGTAACCGATCGTAAAGGATGTCAAGAACCAAAATCCGCCAACGTTGATTCTTTACTGCGGCTGAAATATTCATTTTTAGAGCGTTACTGAATTAAAAAAAAGCAGTATAAAAACCGGAATGTCCAACTGATAAGGCTAAACATTTTTTCACTTGTTATTGACAGTACGATAAATACATTCACCAACTTTTATTAAAATAAAACCATTTAAACTGGGTGTTCGGATTTATATGTCACTTAGTATACATACTAACTGTAATTACACACAGCGCGGGCGCGGTGGTGATTTCCCGTAATTCTCCTCAAAGTCCTTCGTAATTTATGACTTTGAACATAACCTCTTTTTAGAGAGCACAACACAAATAACCCGTCGGGCATAGCTAATAGATATACTTCATTGGCAGCATATTCAGTAATTTTCCCACATAGCAAATATCACTGATTTCATACATATGCAACCAATCATGCGTGTAGTCTAGTTGAGTAATTCCACCATAGATGGCCGCTCACAACGATGCTAGTAAGCAAAGGTGGAATGACTGTTTGCACCCTAAAAACTACCTAGTCTGCAAGATGACATCTTATAGGTTTTTGTGACGTTTTATAGGCTCTTTACATAATACCCGTGCGAATTAGGTATCCGGGAGAGACGGTATTGCCAGATGGACTACCGGTAGGGCAGGAAGGGATGTCTATGGACCTTTCCGACTGACTTTTTTCTCAGAGGGTCTAACTTGTGCTGCTAATCCTTCATGAACTGATGACGGTGTTGCTTGGGAAGTGCAGAGTCAACCTATTTGACGTCACTTTTTATGGAGGTAGATTGCTTCAGTTCTGACAGGTAGCAGAAATTTTCGGTTTCGGCTTGTCTCAGTTAAGATCACCGAGCACATAATTTGGGTCGAACACATCTCGTCAATTGCGGAAGCTGCTAGGAAGAAGCTGGGTTGTTTGATTACAGCTAAGAAGCACCTACACTTCGCCATTGAACTCCAGTAAGAGATACGAAGTCGGTTAGCTCGGGCAAATTTGCGCATTTAGATGACTTGGAGAATAAATTGCCCATTAACGTCTACTACAAGATGTCATAATTAGAATTTCAGTATCGTTTTCCTTCTGCTGTTCCCAGCTTATTTTATTTTTCCATATGGACGTCATACTTGATTTTTTTGTGAATATAGTTTTTTATTGTGATTTCATAAATGTATAACATATCGAACAATAATTTTTTGCATAAATCGTCAACCAAGAATTCCTTTAGTTTTGATGAAAGGGGTATAGCTAAGCAGTCCAATTTCCGATTTTAGTGATATGGTATTGTACATATCATGATCTCCTCCACAGAATGTCGTCACCCTGCATAAGGTTCAGCCTCGAGTACTGCTCACATGTTTCGTGATATCAAGAGCAGCGAAATGAGACTCACTGGATGAGTTTACTCCACAATTGCGTGACATAAGCTAGAAGGTTCCATGTGGATCGCTGGTGCTGGAAACCATACTGCCTGCCGCTAATCAAGCTGTGGCGTTCGAGGTGTCCAGGAGCTCGCAATTTATGCACCTCCCCATCACCTTACTTATAACAGAAAGCAGAGCTATAGGCCTGTAGTTGCAAGGGTCGGTCTAAGTATTTTTTTCTTGGACATGAGCAAATTTCTAGTTCTCTGGGAAGGTGTCGGATTCATAAGATATCTGGAAGAGACGCGGAAGAACTGGAGCAAGCTCCGCTGCACACCTCTTCAGTACAACGGCAGAAATCAAGTCCGGGCCAGAAGCTTTGATTATTTAGTTTCAAAATACTAGAGCGCTGACGGAATAGTAGAAATCTGACGAAAAGGATAGACGATGACAGTCAAGGAGGCCATAAAGGCGTGCTACAATTGTAGGAATGACTGAAGATACGGCACCTAAACACGCTTCTTCGTATGTATGTCGCAAAAATCCATTATAGTGTCCTTAATAAAAGATAAAGTTGATCATTGAGGATGAGAGACCAAACGTTGTATTCAAACTGTATGCCACATTGTAGAGGAGAAACAGTAGCAATGTTAATCAGCAATTTATTTTCATTTTCACCTCACATAAAGTCAGAGAAAATCAAGAAAGATGTTGGCATTTATTGGTTTAGCCCTGGAAATACTCTGAATTGCTAAACTTTTTAAGTTTAACTTCCTTAGGTATCTGAATGCGTAAAGGCGAGGCTCGAATTTGAAACATCCGATATACGAGTATATACATTCTGCAAAATATTGCGTAACAACTTTCACCGAGGACATTTGAATTTGAAACATGTGCCGAGCAGTTACGAGTCTGTACAGGCATACGTTGATAAATGATGCAGGCAAAACGTTACCGATATCAAAGTAACGGTGGACGCTCATTGAGGGAAGAAAAGCGATTTGTGTCGAGCGATCATGTTACTCCACGGAAGTGGTCGGCGCTTACGCGTAAACTTTGTATATGTTTCGATGTAGACAATGCGTAGATAATGTAGAAAATGCGTATACAATGTATGCAATGATGAAGATAATGTGTAGGATAGCATAAAAGAGTTTAGATTTACTCGCAAACGTCAAAATATACTAAGTGACATATAAAACCGAACACCCAGTTTAAATGTTTTTATTTTAATAAAATTTTGTATAAGTACTTAATGAAGAATAATAAGTAAATGATAAAAATTTCACAATGATTGCACTGCTTTAAAGCTCTTTGATCTTTAATAATGTGTGGATGCACCCTGATGTGCTACGCATTCTCCAACGCGCCTAGGCATGCTTCTGATCAGGTGGTCAATGTCCTCCTGTGGTATCTCATTCCAGGCAACCACCAACTCCTCTCGAAGTGCTTCTAGAGTCTGAGGAGGACATTGCAAATTGAGCAATCTCCTACCCATCATATCTCACACGTGCTCAATTGGGGATAAGTCGGGAGATCTTGGTGGCCATGGTAACAATGTGACATCGTTATGTTGAAAGAAGTCTATTGTGACTCTTGCAACATGTGGTCGGGCATTATCTTGTTGGAAAGTTGGATCTGCCAGAGTGTCAAGATAGGGTAAAAGATGGGGTTCTAGAACTTCGTGGATATAACGCTGCGCGTTCATGTTACCTCTGATGAAGATTAAAGGTGACCTGGAACCATAAGCTTTAGCACCCCAAACCATAACTCCAACAGTGTGATGAACATGTCTTTCAACAAAAAACTGTGGATTCCTCCTTTCACCACGTCGCCTTCTAACCCTGGCACGACCATCGTGCATGCCTAAACAAAATCGAGACTCGTCACTAAAGACAATACTGTTCCATTCCTGATCCCAGAGTGACCGTTATCTGCACCACTCAAGGCGATTACGTCGGTGTTCTCGAGTTAAAGGGAGGACCCAGTGTGGCCGGTATGAAAACAAGCCAAAACTTCTCATTCGTCGGTAAACACTTCGCATGCCAATAGGTGTTCCGTGTTCTGCAAACCATTCATTTGCAATGGACCTGGTAGTCCCTTAAGGCCAATAATTTTAGGCGGCGATCTTCACGGTCTGTTGTTCTACGGCGGCGTCCAGTGCCCCTTGCTCTTTGAGTACGGCCTTCTCGAAGCCATGCCTGACAACACCTAACCACAGTGTCTACACTTCTTTGCACTCTAACTGCGATTGCCCGAAAAGAAGGTCCAGCTTCCCGAAGTCCCACTATACGGCCCCTATCAAACTCACTAAGTTGACGAAATCGTACAAGTCTCCGTACTCTAGGCATCGTAACCGATCGTAAAGGATGTCAAGAACCAAAATCCGCCAACGTTGATTCTTTACTGCGGCTGAAATATTCATTTTTAGAGCGTTAGTGAATTAAAAAAAAGCAGTATAAAAACCGGAATGTCCAACTGATAAGGCTGAAAATTTTTTCACTTGTTACTTACAGTAAGATAAATACATTCACCATTTTTTATTGAAATAAAACCATTTAAACTGGGTGTTCGGATTTATATGTCACTTAGTATATTTATTACGTAAAAAACCTACAAAACGTCAAAAAAAAACGTCAACATGTCAACTTGATGCCTAGATATAGTTCCTAGCGTACATGTAGTACATTCCGCATTTGCTGGCTATGAGCGTCATCAAAAACGTCCATCAATGGAAGAATAACTCAACGACACGTTACGCTCAATGTTCTGCTTCAAGTTGCAAGTCAGTTCCCCACCATGATTCGTTGGTTGTAGATTGCCGACATAGTCTGTAGAGTATACTTTGAGAAGAGAAGTGTGGAAGAGAGATTTCTCAACCCATGCGGGTTAGGATATCTATCGACCTATATGGCGCCTGTGTAGCTTGTGTAAGGCGTTACAGGGTGATCACTCGTGGCACTATTATTTGGTGTAGTTTACTTTCTCTACATAAATTCAATACGTATACAATAACAATTTTATAAGCGTATACAATTGTGTATTTTGAATGATGTTACAACGCGCCTACTCGACAGCTATCTCTTTTTGACTCATGTTTTGGACGACACGAAACGCTTCCTTTCTCCTCAGTGTGCATGCATCATTATGTGCCTCAACCTTCAACTTGTTATTGTGGAAACGTGACGTGAAGCAGAGAATGATATAGGAAACAGTAATGCGTTTATTCAACTTGGTTTATTCTCTATCATTTTGACTAATTTAACATGAGCATTGTTATAAACTATTTTGTGAATATCGAGTCACGATGCTTTACATGGCTTCCTCCCCTTTCAGGTCATAAGCTGTCATGAAGAACGTTGTTATGGAGTAGCAAAGCCTCAATATCTGAAAAATTACTCATAGTACAATCGACATTGAAAGCTCCAATTCGACACCATATTATTTCTTGCACAAGATATTTTTTTCACGAATATTTATTCAATTATGATAAAACCAAAAACCTTTTGCAATCGCATGATGTACAGGGTGCGGCAGATAGGACGGACGTTTTTGGGATGGGTAGTACTCTCCGCCTCCGTCTACGAGAGAGGTGGGGAGGGTGCCGTTTGACTGAGATCTTAGCATTATTTTACTAGTTGTCGTTATGGAGCCTTGGACGGTGGAGCACCGCGATTTCGCCTATGATTGTTTCGTCCGAAATAATGAGTCAGTCATCGTCGTACAGCGTGAGTTTCGTCGCCACTTCAACATTCATCGGAATAGAGCTGTTCCCTCTCGAAACACCATCCTTCGTTGAGTTGAATCACTTCGCAGGCGTGGTGAACTGACCAACTTTCTTCGCAGTCCGACTCGATCTGCCCGGAAACATGCTGCTGCACTTCGCCTTAGTGATCGTTCGGTAAGGTGAATTTTGCATATGGATCTCCGCTTTCACCCCAAGTTGAGATAGCGATGTTGGAGAGAGTCTACGCGAACTTCCAAGGACGCCTCCAACACTGTATCAACGATTTCGGCCACCACATGCCTGATGTGATTTTCCACACTTGACTGTCTCAAATGATATTTCCTTGTGAACCTGATTCCATCAATAAATTTGTTTTCGAGTAAAAATTAACTATTTTATGACCGTCCTTCCTCTCTGCCGCACCCTGTACCATCACACGTCCACCATGTATTAACAGAAAATGAGGAGTAGTAGATTGATTTTAAACTTGTTTTAAAACAACGTGTGGATGTGTTTATTACCCCATCCAGAAGCTAAAATTGTATGTTTCGAGCTAAACGCTGAAAGTAATTACGATATCAAGTTGACATATTTATGACCTTCTTAATCCTTCGCAATTCTTACTATACTATAACTATCTAAAACTGTAATGACTCATCGATGTTCACGTGAACATCACTTAACTACCAGTAGTCGGCTGTTCATAGGCGGGGTATGAATGTTTAACATGGGTGAACTAGATTTGTCACATGATTAATAAAGAGTGGTTTGAAACATATTGTAAGTCAAAAATTTGGGAATTACCTTTATTCATCGTCGCTTCCACTTACATCTGACAGTAATAAACTATCGCTATCCGCTTTCTTCGTTGAAATTGACTATAACTGGCTCTATGATGGTGTCGATGTGGTGGTCAAGCTGCCACATTTTTGTTTCTTCCTTCACAACATGACGGATAGCATTCTGCCAAGCTTCGGGCGTTACTAGCTGGAAGCATTATCCATGGCGATCACAGAGTTGGGCTCAACTCGCTGAAGCACCCCTTGAAACCAGCTCTCGAAGCAGCTGGCATTCAGTTCGTCATGGTAATCACCTCCTTTCTTAGAGACGAAAATCAAGTCGCACTCTTCTAAAAAGCTACTATCGCTACCAATATGAGTTACGATCAATCTTTGACCTTTCCCTGACGGTCCACGAAGACCTGTTGACAAACCTTCAATGCCTGCTTGTCGGTTACTCACTACGTTTTTGTCTATCCAGGTTTTTTTAACTGTGTGACCTGCATTTACCCATGTCTCGTCCAAATAATAGATTTTTCTGCTTTGTGGCCTATATTCAATCATTTCGCGTAGGTATTTCCGACGCCAGGCGACTATTTCAGGTCTCTCTATCAATACTGACTTCCGATTACGCGTTTCGTAACGAAAATTAATTTCGTGCAGGGATTTCCTCATTACCTCGATGCTCATTTGGGGTATAATTTCATTTTCCGTGATCGCTGCATGTACAGCCTTGAAAGTTGGTATCTCATTCCTAAAGAAGAATGAATGTACGGTTCGCCTTAACGCCATTTTGCTATCGTCATCCAATTTAACGGCCTTTCGTCCCTTCAAATTAAACTTTGGATCAGTAGTAGCTCCAGTTTTCTTCTTTTCATGCACCACCCTGCGAATGGTCCACTCCGGAACTTTCACAACGCGCGAGTGCATCTCCCTGCGACATAGTTCTGTTCAGATAATTGAACACGTTGAGCACGATTTCTTTCGCGTCCCTCTTCAGTGCTTTACGAAGCCGTCTACTTTTTCCCTGGCTTTCAGTACTTCCACTCGTGCCATTTGTACTCTCCATGGTTAAGTATAACCAAAACAGTAACCACAGAAACCACAACAATAACAATCACACAACAATTTTTATAAAAACACGCAATATGCGATCGCTCAACGAAACACGTTCCAATGCGTTGCCGACGCCTATGAGTCTGCCGGTCGAGGCGCGTCTTTGATTTCATTGGTTCTACCGGCGGAGAACAATCAGCCATTATTTCCATCTCTGTCTGTGTGTTGACCACCGCAAAGCCACAGAAATGACATATATCGTACGCTATAAGGCCGTACAGGAAGGAAGCCGGGATCGAGCTCTGATCACGTGTTGATCACGCGTATGAGTCATTACAGTTTTAAATAGTTGTAGTATAGCACCAGTGTGGTCCTCGGAAGCAGAATGCTTATAATAACGATAACATTGATTCTGCAGGATCATCTAGCGATGACAGAGAACAGGTCAGAGAGCATATACATTTGGAATCACTTATACAGGGTGCAAACGTTATGGTAGGCATTATTGAAATGAGTAATTGGGGGGTCAAAACCAGTCAAAAAGTTGATAAGTCAATATATTTTTGTCTTAATGGCTTTATAGTTTACAACTTTAAGTGCTTTATATCGACCACAATCACCACAATCTTACTAATTTTTATAACCTAATCTAAGACGTTTATAAATTGGGTAATTAACAAATAAATGACATTAAGTTTTTCTAAGTTAAGCCCAAATTTGTAGTCAGTAAGTAAGTAAGTTTCATTAAACTAAATATTTAAAACACACATTACAACAGCGCGTCGGTTTTTCATCACTCTTATCGATCCGGCAATCGATCGTAAACGGTAACAGTGGTTAGTATGTTGTTTTGTTTTTGTTCGCGTACATCGCCATGTGTATGTATAATCAAGAGTTCGCCGACATGTTAGTTTACGGTGAAGCTCGTCAGAATTTAAATCTTGCAGCTCAAATTTATCGCGACATATTTCGCCAACGGGTACACCCAGACAGAATGACATTTGTGCAAGTGTACCGAAGACTGTTCAGCCCACTAATATTCGCACGCGTGAAAGGCAGGTTAGTGTAGAGCAGGAGGAACAAATTTTAAATATCGTGGAAATCAATGCAGATATCAGCACTCGGGAATTAGGCCGCCGCGAAGAACTATCGTATGCCATAGTGCATAGGGGAAAATTTGCTTTATCCCTACCATGTACAACGAGTGCAGACCTTGTTACCAGAAGACTATCCTCGCAGACTATCATTCTGTCAGTGGTTTTTGCACAAAAACATTGAAAATCCAGTTTTTTTTTAAAGCATTCTAGCGGCGGACGAATGTAGTTTTACGCGAGACGGGATATTAAATTTCCATAATACTCACACGTGGACTCAAGAAAATCCTCGTACCATTCGTGAAGGTCATTTCCAACAATGTTTTAAAATAAATATTTGGGCGGGTACTCTTGCGAACAGGTAATTGGCCCTTTCGAGTTACTCCCAAAGTTGTCAGGAGAAGGATACCTTAGCTTTCTAGCCAATAACTTACCAGAACTTTTGGAACAGACCTTAGACAAAATGCCACTACAACGGAGACAGAATTTGTGGTTTCTTCATGACGGGGCACCACCACACATTTTTAGAGGCGTCATTCAGTGTTTGAATGAACATTATCCAAATCGCTGGATCGGTCTAAATACTCCTGATCCTCGAAAATGGCCAGCAAGATCTCCTGACCTCAATCCGATGGATTTCTGGTATTGGGGAGAACTTAGAGGGATGGCTTTTGGGGCTGGTTCAATAACAACTGGAGCACAACTTCGCGAAAAAGACTTTAATGCGGCTGAAATAATAAATGGACAACTTCGAAGACCTAGAGTAAGAAGAAACTGGGTTCGTCGTAATGAAGCTTGTGTGAAAAGTGGAGGACGACATTTTGAACACCTTCTTTAAATACAAAATAGTGCAGTCTGGGTTTTAAAACGAAAGACAATGTATGTTTTAAAATTGTGTTACCTATTTATAAGTGGATTTTTTCAATACGTTCAATAAACTTTCACACACAGCAGGTGAAGCGCTGAGACAGTTAGTGGTAAGTCCGTTTTTTTTAATTGTTTGCATTTTACGGGTACATTATCAAATAATAAAATAATACCTAAGAGCCAAAAATAACAAACTCCATCTTTATTTACACTGCGTTCCGTCGTAATTTGCGTCTGGCAGATTTTATTTTACTTTAAAGTCGCACACCGAAACACATCCACACACATACACATCTACCATCATATGCTCGCTTCTCCATCTTAATGAAAAAATAAATTTGAAAAAGATAATTTTAAAAAAGTAAACTTTACAATAAGTATCCGTGCACAATACGGAGTTTTTCCTGATTTTAATATTCTTTAGATGAAATTAAATAAATGATGTTTCTTGTGATTTAGCATATTCAGTATAGACAAATTGACAAATTGTTTAGGTAAGGCGTTTTGTGGTTACGATAAGGTATGTTAAATGAAAATCGCATGCAGGCCTTCTGCACTTTTTGTATCGTATTTTTATTAGTATACGCCAATGATCTCTCATAAACTATATCGCTTTACTCTAAAAAAAATTCGACTCCTATGTTATATGAAACTCTTTGCTTCTTTTAACCCCTTCTATCATCTATTTAAATAATGACTATCATAACTATCAAACATTACATATAGTAGTTACAGAAAGACAAACACTATACGAATAAGTCAACAGAATATTATTAAGGGATGAAACTAGTTTAATTTTTTTAAATAATGAGACATTATAATCCAGAGGACTTGGACTTGTCCAATAGATACTAAAAAGAAATACAAAACACTACAAGCTTATGAATTTAGTAACAGAATAGAAACATCTATTACTAATTAAACCTCTCAGTTTCTTAAAAATGTTACTGGATTCGGTGTTCCTGATTACACTCGGAAGTGCATTGCAAATTGTAGGCCCCAAAACATTTGGTGCACTGC